TATATGAATCATTACAATAACATAATAATAATCGCATCCTTGGTTGTATAAATAAGATAAAACAAGTTTTTTTAGTAAATAAAATACAAAAATAACATAAACCGTTTAAATATTAAAACCTATACCAGATATATTTTATCCTCATTGTTAATTGTTATAACATATATAATTTTGACGAACACAAATCCCAGTAGTATTATAGTTGTTTTATTTTGATTTTACACTATTACATCTTTATTTATTACTTACTTTTAAGTGTATCATTACAATTATACCACACAACATCTATATAGATAATATTGGGCTCTAATCTGTATTTAATTTTAATATACCATGACAATCTTAAGATGAATTAAAAATAATGTGGTGATATTGAATTTTCAGTTTTATATAGATATTTAAAATGTATACACTATAGTTTGTATTAATTTTAGTAAATTTTCACGTGAATAGAGGTACGCCAAAACCAAGATACATCAATATAATATTATATAGTGCTATATTTTATATTTTTTCGYGGCAGAAGTCGGGTTATACAGCTAAAAATTAATGTTGGTTTGAAATTAATAAACTCAAAAACTACCGGACTGTTTTCAATAAAATTTATACCAATAGATTCCTGGAGACTTGGTTAGTGTTTTTTTTTTATTTTTTTAAATTTTTATTGTTAGATAAAGATTAACTCACACATGGATTTGTTTTGAAAAAGCAATTTTTTCGCCTATCTAAATAAATGATGATACCATTAATACATATTATGTTATTATTTTAATGAGAAGGAATATGATACATACATTTTTTTACAAAAATATTTAATAAAATTACAAATATTTGACCCGGGCAACGTTGAATGAAACAGCTAGTAATATAGGTAAGATTTAATCATTATAATGTGATTATAATATAGTTTTCCCGCCGAAACAAATCAAAAAAATTATTGATTTTGGTAAAAATCGTATAAAAATAAAGTTTCTTTTATTAGTTGAAACCAAATCATAAATATGTTATTATACTAAAATATTAAAATTGTGATTTGAAAATGTTCAGCAGTGAGTCGTTAGTCTCGACTCTCAAATACACCACTACCGCTTGATATATTTAAATATGTATGTATATGTGTTTACCTATTAAATTTATTCGTTAAAACTTATACGTTATAGGTAAGTATACTCACGTCGATATTGTTCACTCATCGGTGTATTGTTATTATTATTGTTTATGTTGTGTACGGACGCGTAAACGCCAACAACGAAAAAAAAACAACAACAATATAATCATAACGGAATCATTTTTCGTCTTATTATTATTTCGTTATTAGCGGCTACAATTTGTATGTATACACAGGTATGTAACTCTTCAAGCCCTCGACGTGGAATAATAATGGGTACGACTTAATATATATATATATATAGAGAGAGAGAGAGAGAAATGGAGTGATGAAGAGAGATGCAGTGAGAGAATGCGTTATATGTAATTGTAATGTACCCATTATGAACAGTTGGTTGCGTGGACATAACGATTTCGCGGGGATCAAACAACGTCATCGTCACGTTTAAATAACGATGAGGACCGACTTGGGGCGACTACCTATTTAATATTATAATATAATTATTAGAGAGGTACCTCTATGCACACACGTCGAGACGTCACAATAAATATATTGTAACACGATTTTTAGAGTAT